TCAGTGGTGTTGTAGGAAGCTTCTGCTGCTGCTGCTTCCACTCCTTGTAGAACAAGGACTCAAGGAACTTAACATCCCTTGACACAGTCAGTTGCTGGCTCGTCAAGTCCCATATCAACCAGCCCTTGTGGTCCTTGGCAAGCCCCAAGTGCACACCCCATCTCCCAGAAGCTTCCAACTTTCCCCTCTTCTCCTTCGGTACATGAAACACCACCATGCAGCCATAAGTTCTCAGCATGTTGACTGCAGGCGCACTCCCATACCACTTGGTGTAGGGGACCCATTGCTTGTCCCCCACAGTCGCCAGCACCCGGTTCTTCACAACAACGACCTGCCGCAGTGCTGTCACCCAAAACGGATCCGGCAGCCCTGCACGCCCAAGGAGAGTGCGAGCACCTTCCTGCAGGGTCCGGTTGAACCGCTCAGCCACGCCATTCTGCTGAGGGTTGTAAGGCACTGTGAGCTGATGCTGGATCCCCTTCCGCTTCAGCTCCTTCTCAAAATCAGCGCCGATGAACTCTCCTCCGTTGTCAGTGCGGATCACCTTCACCTTGTGTCCGCTTTCCCTTTGTGCTCTCGGCATCCACTCCTTAAGAACAGCCGCTGCCACCTCCCCCTTAGTCTTGAGAGGGTACACCCACACCGCACGCGTGTGGTCGTCCACAATCGTCAAGAAGTAGCGGCTGCCCGAGAGAGAAAGGGCCCTCGTGGGGCCCACCACATCCATGTGCACTAGTGCAAGTGGTGCCTTGGCTGGTCCTGTGCTGCTGCTGAAGGGAAACTTCGTGAATTTGGTCTCAAGGCAGGTAGGGCAGCTCCCAATCTCCTTTGCTCCCCCCTTCACCTCCAGCCCCTTCAAGCACCCATCCTTTACCAACTTCTGCAGCATAGGAATGTTCACATGGCACAGCCTCTCATGCCACGTCTCCCAATCAGCCTCACCACTCCCAGATGAAGCCTTTGCCCATGCAGCTGTCGCATCCACACCAGCAAGCACCTCACCATGTGGCTGCTGTGGCTGCTGCACCTTCTTGACTGCATCCAGGGCCCCAGCAGTTGGTGCAGTCTCCTCTCCTCCCGCAGTTGCTTTAGCCGCTGCCGCTGCCTTTGCCGTTGCTGGTGGTTTCCCCTTCCAAGGGATGATGGGCAGCTGCCACAGGTCCTTGATGCAGCTGCTCTTCTCCTCCAAGTTCCACAGCAGCAACTTCCCAAGCTTTGCATGGCAGCTGGTTGGGCCGAAGGTAACTTCAGCCTTGCTCTTCTGCAGCCGGCGCACAGAAAGAAGGTTAGCGGACAAACCTTCAACCAACAGCACATTCCCAAGCCCCACAAGCTCTCCATTGGCTCCCATCACCTTAGAATTCCCAACACCAATCACAGGGAGCAAAGCACCTGAAGCGGCAGCCACAAACTTGATCTTCCCAGGAGGTTTTACCTCATCAAGCAAATCTTCCCGTGGGGTCATATGACTCGTGCAACCTGAATCGATCACCCAGTGAGTGAGGGGGTGCATCACAACCTTCCCAACTGAACCCATATCACCCCCACTCCCTTGCACATCCTCAACCATGAGGAACATCCCAGGGTCGGCTTTACCTTGTGCACCATCACCTTGTGCACCTGATCCTTGCACAGCGCCACCGCGTGCACGTTCACCACTTGGCGGCTTCATGCCTGGAGGGGCCCATCCCTCAGGCCGGCTGAAACACTTGAACCACGGGTGTCCAGCCTTCTTGCAGTACCAGCACGCACCCTCCATTCGGGTGCTCCCCCTGCCACCAGAGCTCCCATGCCCCTCATTGTAGTCACCTCGGCCTCTCCCTCTGCCAAAGCCTCTCCCACGGCCTCGGCCTCTCCCTCCCCCTCTTCCTCTTCTGCCTCCTGCAGCTCCATACCCCTCAGCAGTTTTGTTGGCAGCACCACCTCCCGTGTGGCGCCTGCGGAAGTCCTCTTGCAGAATCTGCTGCCGTAGCCACTCAGGCGTCCATTTGTCCTGCTGAACGTTGAGGGTGGGGATGAGGTTGTCCCACGAGTTGTCGAGCACCGAGATGATTTTGGTGCACTGTTGCATCTGCGATACTTCGCTGCCCGCCGCTGCCATCCTCGCATAGGTGTCCTTGATCTTGTCAAGGACCGGTTTCACATCATCTCCCGGTTTCATGGAGAGGGCAGCCAACTCCTTCTCCAACACAATCACCATCGGCAGCGTGTTGGGCTGAATCACGTCGCGTAGCAGCTTCCATGCCTTCGGTCCGGAATCATCCAACTCCACCAAATCCTTGATGTGCTGGAACACGTCGTTGTTGACCGATTGGAGGATGAGGTCGTACAGCACCGCGCTCTTCTCAATCCACCGATCGCGGGCATCTCCTTCCCCCGGCATCTTCTCCTCTCCCATTGCAATTTTCAGTAGCTTGTAGCGCTTGAAGGCGCTCCGCATCCGCCCGCTCCATTCCTCATAGTTGGAGCCATCCAAAGCTTCGATCTTGGATGGTGGCGGTTCACTCCTCTTCTCAGCTGCATCTCCACTCCCTTGATTCATCTCCTCTGCTCCCAATCAGAGGTTTCAGCTCCCCCTTTTGCTGGTCACAATGTAGATCCACACAATCTTCACAAGTGTCGGCGCCAACGAAATTTCGGCAGAGTTTCCCCTTAGCGGAAGTCACATCCAACCTCCAGAACTCCACTTAGGCACGCCCACAGGCCATGGTGGGTCTAGGAGGGTCTTCACACTTCAGTAGACTCCCCACAAGGTCCTTAATCACCTCTGATACCACTTGTTAGAGACTAAGGACGGAGTCTATGAAGATTAGGAGCCAAAATATCTCAACATCGTTGGGCCTAGTTTCTGAACAGAAAAGTCGAGTTCACAAGAAACGTCGTCGACGAAAAGTGCACTGTCAAAACTTCACTAAACTCATATATGTTGTAGCCCTACTCCGTGGCTACAATTCCCAAGTTGAAACGTATCAAGAGGTGAAGTAAATCTCGACTTATCAATTTCGGCGCACAGGGGGGTATGCTGCCATAAGAACTTAACTCAATCACAAAGTTCACACAAGTTCACACAAGAGAATTAGAGTAGCACTAAACCAGGTGGAAGGGATAAGGAGGACGAGAGGGAAGGTCCCAAGAGAGTCCCCAACCAAGGAAACCCCATGCCATACAATTCCCTTCCCCATAGGCAACCCAACTTTGACCTTTGTCACTATCCCAACCTCCACAATCCACCTCAACCCAACTTGGCCACACTTGCCAACCTGGTTTGGTTTCTCCCAACCATTTGGCAGCAACTACAGTAGAAAAGACGAATTTCCCAACCCCCAAAAGTCTGTACCCCATATTGAGTCAACCCCACAACTTCCCATAGTCACCACAACCAAATATCAAAAGCATACGAACTCCAACGTTCGTAACTTTCTTGTTCGTGCTCCGATTGAAGCGATACTTGGTTCCTCGGAAAGCTCTTGAGCAGAGGAGTCACTTCAGATATCTGCTCAAGCCAAATAACATTCACACACACACTCAGAAAAACCAAACCGCACAAAACACAAATTCTTGCACACACTCACAACACGCATGCAACGCACGAACATATGATGGGAGGCAGACAGACGTGAATGCGAATGGTAGCATCACTCAACAGAAATCCCCGTAGACTGTCAGATTTCGAGCAGATGTTGCGATTAGGGTAAAGAATGAGACTTCTGACTGAGTGAGACTTCTTTCCCCCGTAAAGAAAGAGCGCGTTACTACGACTCTGATTTTCAATTCTCGACCCTGAACATTCAGAGTTCACTACTTCTCAACCCTGAGCAATCAGGGTGCTGTTTTTCTGGAAAATGTGCCTTCAGGGTAAAAAAAAAAAATTTAGGTTGAACTCAGGGTACCTAAATTTGAAACGTCAGCCCTGCCCCAAGGAGCCATCGTGCACTTGATTTTTGTAGCCTTTGCTTGTTACCAATTTAACCATCTATGTTGCATGTACCGATTCCACAGTGTGGGTCTTTTCATTGCATTCACTCACTATTTTCAAGTAAAGCGTATATCCATGTTTTATTCTCCCTCATTGCATTGCAGAATTGGTACGGCCTGTATACGCATCAATAATAAGAATCGATGGAAGTACACAACTATTACAATCAAACGCCAATTACCAACCCCACGGTTGTGAGCCCGTCGCTACCGGGGTACCAACACAAGGTTTCTCCAACTCTTCATCCGCCTCTTCCGCCTCTTCATTCTCTTACTCCTCCTCAACATCCTCCCCTTCTTCCCTATCCCCCCTTTCCTTCCACTCAACACCCTCATCCCCTGACCCCCCTCATCCCCTATTCCCCCTCCTGACTTTTCCCGTACATGCCCAATGCCCCTGCAAGCCCTGCTACTTCCCCACCATCCTCATTCACCCCATCTCAACGCCGTTCTTTCCGCCTCCGGACCTCCACTTCCCTCCCGCTGCTCGCTATACCTCCCGACCTCCTCCCCTCACCTCCCCCGACATAGTCCCACTCTTCTCCCTTCCTCTCTCCCTCCCTCTCTCCCTCTCACCTCCGGTTTTCATTCCCTCCATCCCTCCCCCTCCCTCGCTCGCCCCCTCCCACGGGCTCCTTTCTCTTTCAGTGCTTCCTCCCGCTTCGCACTCTCAGCACAGCGCAACCGGCATGGTCTCCCGCCCAATAGTCAACCACCATATCAAGCTCGGCTGCCAATTCTTCAGCATTTATGGGGATATTCAGTTGAGCTAGTGTCGCAGATCGCACCATGACCTGGTGGAGGTGAGTACTAAATCGTTGCGCAACGGTCACCTCCTCGACGAGATCATCCATTGCCGCCTCGTCATTACCCACCCCCTCCAACTCTCCCAGCCACCTAAACCCTAGAGCCCCTTTGCAAGGAGGCTGAAATTCCAATGCCTGAAATGGAGCGCTCGAGGTAGATCGTGTGAAAGGAGGGGATCGAGGGAGGGGGGATATACTCCAAGTTCGATGGCACTCTCCCTAAACATGAGAGAATGGAGGATGACAGGGGTAGCAGGGGGAAGGGAGGATGGCGGGGTAGCAGGGGGAAGGGAGGATGATAGGGGTAGCAGGGGGAAGGGAGGATGACAGGGGTAGCAGGGGGAAGGGAGGATGACATGGGTAGCAGGGGGAAGGGAGGATGACAGGGGTAGCAAGGGGAAGGGAGGATGACAGGGGCAGCAGGGGGAAGGGAGGATGACAGGGGCAGCAGGGGGAAGGGAGGATGACAGGGGTAGTAGGGGGAAGCGACTGGGGAGCGGAGGACATGCATGGTCGAAAAGGCGGTGTGGCCCTGGGGGAGTGGGGATAGTTTCAGAGGGGAAGTGGAGGATTGGACAGGGGGAAGTGGGGGAAAGGCCGGGAGGGAGTGCGGAGACGGACGAGGTGGAGTTGGGGAAAGAGAGGGTAGGAGGGGGGGAAAAGGAGCATAGGAGTGGGGGAAAGGGCGGGTGGTAGTGTTGGAAAGGGAGGGTAGGAATGGGGGAAAGGGAGGGTAGGATTGGGGGAAAGGGAGGGTAGGATGGGGGGAAAGGGAGAGTAGGAGTGGGGGAAAAGGAGGGTAGGAATGGGGGAAAGGGAGCATAGGAGTGGGGGAAAGGGCGGGTGGTATTGTTGGAAAGGGAGGGTAGGAATGGGGGAAAGGGAGGGTAGGATTGGGGGAAAGGGAGGGTAGGAGTGGGGGAAAGGGAGGGTAGGAGGTGGGGAATGCGAGGGTAGGAGTGAGGGAAAGGGAGGGTAGGAGTGGGGGAACGAGAGGGTAGGAGTGGGGGAAAGGGAGGGTAGGATGAGGGAAAGGGCGGGTGGTAGTGAGGGAACCCGAGGTGCATGGGGGATAGGGAGGGTTGGGGTTGGTGAAAGGGTGGATTATTGTGGGGGTGCAGGGCGAGGGAGAGTGGGGGAAGGACGGGGGGGGGGGTGATGGGGGAATGGACGGGTGGGAGTGGCTTTCAAGGACGGCATGTCATGGAGATGCACAAGAGGAAGGGTAGATATAAGGGGGAAGGGGAGGGGGGAGGGGGGGGGGAGGGATAGGAAGGGGAGAGAAAGGAAGGGACGGGAATGCGGAGATCACTCTATCAACGGGAGCTAGACTACGGGCTAGGCACGGGGTAGGAGGGATCTCTGAGTTCGTTCACTTAGTCGTTCTCTAGCACTTGTGCGTTCACAGGGTAAAACTGCAAGAGTTTCACTAGCAAAAGTTGAGAACAATGAGAGTAACAGCATTGGCATGCAAGACTACATCAGACCTAGCAAAGTTGCTGGTCGACTTCCAGGGAAGCACGGTCGACCGCGTGCCAGCACGACTTGGTCGACCGCGCTCCAGCAGAGCAAAGTCGCGGCTTGCCAACGTTGCAAGTCCATGGTGTGCCAACGCTGCAGCAAGTCGGCTGCACAGCGTTGCGCCCGCAGAACAACGGTGCACCTGCTTCGCAGGTGCATGCAGCTGGTTGGTGCACTTTTCCTTGTCACGTGCACAGCGCAGACGCCCAGCTCGACTCCACGCCAGCGACTGCGCCCACCAGCCACGTCGACCTCGGGATACCACCATCGAGGTCGGTCTCGCCACTACCACCTGGGCGACCGTCGCACTACTCCGCAGAACCTCGTCACCCAGGTAACATGGTCGACCGGGCAGCCACCACGTCGACCAGCTGCTTCCTCGTGTGTCCGTCGACCTCCCAAGTCGACGACCACCTTCAGTCGACCACACCAGGTCGACCACACCCTTGGTCGACCAGCTCCAGGTCGACAACCCACCTGGTCGACCATTTCCAGGTCGACCAGCACACCTGTCAGCCGACCACACCAAGTCGGCTTCCCCTGGTCGACGTCACCCAAGTCGACGCCCTCTACTGGTCGACCTCCCAAGTCGACCAGCCGAAGTTGGCGCCCTCCCAAAGTCGGCGCCCTTGCAGTGGCCCCCGTGCAGGTCAACCAGACCTGTCGACCAGCTCCCCCACTGCTGCAGGTCGGTTGCACTCCTCACACTCGACCACGAAGTCGGCTCCGCCCAAGTGAGGACGGGGCCAACAACAACTCCCGTTGACACTCCCCTTCCGCGTTCACGCTTGGGCACTTAGCCCACACGGCAGCACTGCTCGGAGAATAGCTCGTCGACGTGCACCCAACACACAGCACGCCGGTCACCGCACCAGCCATGCAAGAGGGCATGGCACCTACTGCTGCACGTCGTTGTCACCGTCGCCCACGTCGACCAGGCGCACCTGGCCGATTGCAACGGAGCACCGGTTGACGGCCGGGTAGTGTAGCGTCTTCGTCTGGAAGTCGGATGGCTGCTCAACGGTCGGGATGTACCTCAGCGAAAACTTCCCGCGCTTCACCATGTGCTGCAGCCAGGCTTGTCGCCGCTTCATGTGCTTGAGGTTGCCCGTCAACCCCATGCCCTTGGCGACCGTGATGGAAGACTTGTTGTCCACCCGGAGGACAGTCGGCTTCCCGGCATCCAGCTGTCGGAACTCTGCAAGGAGGAAGCGAAGGCGACGTCCCTCCTTGCCGGCTTCGGTTGCCGCCACGTACTCTGACTCGGTCGACGACAACGTCGCGCACTTGATGCGTTGGCTCGACCAGGAGACTGCGGCCCCTCCGTAGACGAACACTTAGCCGCCCGTGCTCGTCCGGTTCTGCTTGTCGCCGGCGTCGTTGGCGTCCACGTAGCCGACCAGCTTCAGCGAGTCAAGTCCACCGCCGAACTCCAGGGCGGTGTCACGGGTGTTGGCGAGGTAGGCGAGGCAGCGGTCGACCTCGTGCCAGTGCTGGTCGCTCCTCACCGTGAGGCCGCCCCCCCAGCTTGCTGCAGGCAGGCGATGTCCGGCCTCGTCGTTGTCGCCGCAAACTGCAGCGAGCCGACCTTCTGCCGGTACTCCTCCTCCTGGCGCTCCTGTGCCTCTTTGTCGTCGAAGGTGAGCTCGGCATATGCGTCGACCGAGACCGGCGTCTTCGGGGTGCGCCCGGTCTGCTCCTCGTCGAGAAAACGCCTACGCAGCTTGTCTGCATAGCCCTGCTGGTGGAGCCAAAGCTTCCTCGCCGACCTGTCGCGCACGATCTCCAGCCCGAGGTACTTCTACACCGGCGAGATCTCGCGCAGCTCGAAGGCGGCCTCCAGCAACTCCTTCAGCTCCTTCAGCATCTCGGCACTGCTGCTAGCGGCGAGCAGGTCGTCGACGTAGACCAGCACCCAGCAGGCCACCTTGTCGTCACCGACCTTGAAGTACAGAGCCTCGTCGACCTGGCTCTTCTTCCACCCGGCGCCGACCAGAACATCGTTGAGCGCCTTGTACCACAACAGCGGTGACTGGTTCAGCCCGTACAGGTTCTTCAGCAGCTTACACACCCGGCCGGTCCCGTCGCTAAAGTGGTCCGGCTGGTACATGTAGAGCACCCGGTCGGGCTTGCTCTGCAGGAAGGCGTTCTTCATGTCGAGCTGCATCGGGTTGAGGTTGAGCACGGCGACGATGCTGAGGAAGATCCTCAGCGTAACATAGCTGCTCACCGGCCCGTACGTCTCGTCGTAGTCGGCGCCATACACCAGTGTGAAGCCCTTCACGACCAGCCTCGCCTTCTCGCGCTCGACGGTGTCGTCGATGCGGTACTTCGTCGTCAGCACCCACCGGTTTTTCATGATGTTCACCCCAGGTGGGCGTTCGACCAGCTCCCAAGTCCCCATGCTGATGAGGCTGCGGATTTCCTCCTCCATGGCGGCCTTCACCGCCTTGCCCTTCCAGCTTGCCAAGGCCTCCTTCACCGTCATCGTCGAGATGTCCCAGTGGTGCTCGGGGTCGGCGTGCATGTCGGGGTCGAGCTCTGGCAAATCTTCGTCCTCCTCGCCGTCGTCGTACAGCAGGTCGTCGTCGACCTCGTCGTACAGCGTGGTGGAGGCAGCCAGGACGAAGAAGTCAGGCGGCCTCCGAAGTCGGCCTATCCTCCGTGGTCCGACTTCCACCACGTTGCTGTCACTGGACTCCTCGGCGTCCGCCTGCTCAGTTTCCTCTTCACCGGCGTCACTGCCCTCAGCATCCTGCTGCACCACAGCCGGCGTCCCTGCCGACTTCTCCCCTGTGGTCGGCTCCCCTGCCGACTGCCCTGTCGCCGACTGCTCTTTGGTCGACTTGGCTGCTGCCTGTTCCCCTGTCGGTTGGTGCCTTGCCGCTGCCCCCTTTGCCGACTTCACCACCGTCGGCTTTACCTCGGCCTGCTCCTCTCCTGCCGGCGTCGACTTGACTCTCATGTCGACTTGCTGGACGTCACGTCGGCCACCGGCGATGCTCTTGGCCGGCGCCACAGGCGATGCCCCACTGCTCCCCTCATCGCCGGAGGCCTACATTGGAGTCAGCCCACGCAGGTCGGCCACGAGGGGAGGGGCAGGGGGTGCAGGGGGAGGGGAAGGAGGACGGACGACCTCGGCATCCTCATCAGCAAGCTCACCGACCTCGGCGAGCAGAGGCAGCGTCGCCATCGAGGTGTCCGTCGGCGGGGTGGTCGACGTCTGTCCTGACGCCGGCCCGTGCTCCGACTTCCACACCTCCAGCGACTTGTTCTCGTAGAACACCACGTCCGACGTGGTGACCACCCGGTTGTTGGCGATGTCGAGGAGCTCCCATCCCTTGCTCTCCTCCGACACGCCGAGGTGAAGGCCCCACCTGGCCTTCGGCTTCAGCTTTCCACCTCGCTGCTGCTCGGGGACCAAGAACTGCGCCATGCAGACCCACACCCGTGCCAGCGACAAGTCGGGCTTCTTCCCGGTCAGCAACTGGTATGGTGTCGTCCCCGGCGGCAACGTCGACCTGTCCAGGCAGTTGCGGACCCAAACGGCCTGCCGTAGAGCAAGGTGCCACCAGTGGTGCTGCACGCCCATGTGCAGCAGCATCGTCCGCACCGACTCCACTACCGTCCTCATCTCCCGCACTGCCATGCCGCTTTGCTGCGGGGTGTAGGGGCAGGTCAGGTCGTGGACGATTCCCTTGCCGTTCACGAAGTCGGTGAACTGCTTCCCGAGGAACTCCCCTCCCCGGTCAGAGCGCAGCATCAACACCGACTTCTTCGTTTGTCGCTCAGCAACTGCCAGCCACTGCACGAACTCCTGCAACACATCCGACTTCTTGGCGACCGGCCTCACCCACACGTAGCGGGTCTTGCGGTCCTTCAGCAGCAAGAAGTAAAGGCTGCCGTCCTTGGCAGCTATGCGGAACGGCCCACACAAGTCGATGTGCACGACTGCCAGCACTTCGTCGGCGTCGGAGCCTTGGTCGGGGAAGGTGTGTCGTGCCAGCTTCCCGCCGACGCACGAGACACACGGTGAGTCAACGCCAGACGCCGACTTGAGGTCCAGCCCAATGGCGACCTTGTTCTTCGCCGAGCTCCGGATGGTGTCCATAGCGATGTGCACGAGCCTTGCATGTAGTCTGTCCGGGGTCGACTTCGTCGCCGAGACTATCGCCCTCAGGGCCACCACATCCGTCATGGGCGACGTCGACTTCGCCGAGCAAGGACGCGCGTCGTTGCAGAGGACCCGGCCAGTGTAGGACGCCCGGCCAAGGACGTCCCCTGCCGCCGAGACGAGAAGCATCACGTCGCCGTCCTCCTGCAGCCTCACACCGTTCTCCTTCAGCTGGCCAGCCGACAGCAGGTTCGCGTGCACGCCCGGAACGTAGAGCACGTCGGGGATCAGCACCTGCTTCCCGGCCTTCCCTTGCAAGGCGACCGTGCCCCGACCCTGGACGTCCTGCAGAGCCCCGTTGAAGCCACGCACGTGCATCACGTCACCGCTCGGCTGCAGGTCGACGAAGACCTCCTTCGTCCCCATCAAGTG